AGGGGAAGGAAACAGAGGGTCTGGGTGGCACCCTGTCTTCGGGAGGAAGTGCTGCAAGAGGAGAGGCCCAGCCAGTGAGGACCAGCCGGGGCTGGGAGGCCGCTGGGAGGTCAGCGGCTCTGCTGACCCACTTGCCCAACTCTCAGCTCCGGCAAGCTCCTTACCGGCTTGAAGGCTGTTTCTTCGATGGTGTTAATGAAACAGGGACAATATCTACTTCAGAGGGCCGCCATCACGATTAAAAGAGATCGTGCCTCTAAAGCTCCTAGTGGCCGGGCACAGGGGCCCATACCTGTAATCCCAGCACTTTGGGAGGCCGAGGTGGGAGGCTCACTTGAGGCCAGGAGTTTGAGACCAGCCTGGGCAATATAGCAAGACCCCCGTCTCTACAAAAAAAAATTTTTAAATTAGCTGGGTGTGGTGTCTCGTGCCTGTAGTTCTAGCTACTGGGGAGGCTGAGGCAGGAGGAAGGCTTGAGCCCAGGAGTTTGAGGCTGCAGCGAGCTGTGATCATGCCACTGTACTCTGGCCTGGGTGACAGAGCAAGACCCTCTAAAAACAAATAATTAAAGTTCCTAGCACGTGGGAAACAGCCATTATTCTCTTCCATGCTGCATTAGTCTGTTGTTTTCTGTTGCTTGTAACAGAATACCTGAAACTGGGTAATTTCTAACGAAAAGGAATGTAGGTATTTCTTGCAGTTTTGGAGGCTAGGAAGCTGAGGGTCGAGGGGGTGCATCTGCTGAGAGCCTCCTTGCTGACGGGGACTCTCTCGGCCCTGAGCAGCACGGCCTCGCACGGAGCAGGGCCCACTCCTATAACCCCGGCAGGCCCCACCCGGGACGACCATTAATCCCTCAATCCGAGAGCAGATGAATCCATTCACCAGGTCAGAGCCCTCGTGACCCAATCACCTCCTACAGGCCAACTTCTCAACGCCGCTGCCCCGGGGAATGGTTTCAACGTGAGTTTTGGAGGCAACCTTCAAACCACGGCGCACGCTGTCCCTGAGAACGTGATGTTCCGCCTCACCCAGCTCTGTTGGTTCCCTGCTCCCAAACTAGTGGATGCTCATCACCATCTTTTTCTTTTTTTTTTTGGAGACAGAGTCTCACTCTGTTGCCCGGGCTAGAGTGAGTGCCGTGGCATCAGCCTCGCTCACAGCAGCCTCAAACTCCTGGGGTCAGGCAATCCTCCTGCCTCAGCCTCCCGAGTAGCTGGGACTACAGGCACGCGCCACCACGCCCAAGTCATTTTTTCCGGTTTTTTAGTTGTCTGGCTAATTTCTTTCTATTTATAGTAGAGACAGGGTCTCACTCTTGCTCAGGCCGATCTCAAACTCCTGAGCTGAAGCCATCCTCCTACCTTGAGCCGCCACCGCGCCGGGCCGATTCCCGTCTTCTTAAACAGATATTTACTGTGCTCTCCCCAGGCTCGGAAGCAGGCTCTGAGCTCAGACGGCACGCGGAAACAGCCGGGGTTCCTGCCCGCACGCAGCGCGGTCCTGCTGGGGAAGCGGATAGGCCGATTGTGAAGCCACAGGAGCACACCACTGTCACCGAGATGTGGCGTTCTGAGAGACAAAACAGGAGAACGCAACCTGGCCAGGGAGGGCGTCCCTGGAGAGGCGAGCTTTGAGCCCAGATCCGAAGGACAAGAAGCAAAGCCAGGCGGGGAGGCAGAGGGATCAACGCAGGGGGCAGAGTCTGTGGCGGAAAGTGCTGGAAACAGCCCGGCGGAGCCTGGAAGAGAGACAGCCCCTCCCCCAGGAGGACACAACTGTGCCAAGTGTCAGGAGCCACGCAGGAGGCTGCCAGCTCAGCTTCGCTCTGCGGCGGCCCTGTCCTCCCAGGTGACGAGGGGAACAGAATGGCGGTGCTGCGTGATTGTATTCGCGGCGCTGACAACGTCCCGCTGGAAACCCACGTCTGGAGCGGCTTGTATTTCTCTCGTTCTGTGCCCTTTCCTTGCAGAAACACTGTTTTCCAACCCAGCTTGATTGAGGTGTTAGCTATCTACAGTACAAGGCACCAGTTGTGAGTGTACGTCCCTGTGAGTTTTGACAGCTTTGTACGCCCACGTAAGCACCGCGGTCAAGGTGTGGAGTATTTCATCACCCCAGCCCCTCACGGCCAGTCCCCCAGTCCAGCCCCAGGCAAGGACTGGTCCGTTCCTGCTACTATAGATTAGTCCTTTTAGTTTCATATAAATGAGAAAATACACTATATATTCTTGTGATTGGCTTTTTCTGCTCAACATAACGTTTTTGAGATTTAGCCATTCTTTCACATGTCCATTCTTTTTCATTGCTGAGTAATATTCTATCATATGCATATTCCAACATTTGTTTAGCCAACTCACCTGTTGATGAACATTCGGGTTGTTTCCAGTTTGAGCTATTATGAATAAACCCACTATGAATAGCAGAGTAGGGGCATACTTTTTCATTTCTTTCTTTCTTTATATTGATTTGTTTATTTTTAGGCATGGTCTTGCTCTGTCACCCAGGCTGGAGTACAGTGGCAGGATCATAGCTCACTGCAGCCTCTGACTCCTGTCCGCAAGTGTGATCCTCCCGCTTGAGCCACAAGGACGACTGGTACAAACCATCACACCTGGCTATTTTTTAAATCTTTTTATTTTTTGTAGAGATGGGGTCTGGCTATGTTGCCCAGGCTTGTCTCCAACTCCTGGCCTCAAGCCATCCTCCTACCTCAGCCTCCCAAAGTGCTGGGACTGCAGACCTAAGCCACTGTGCCCAGGTGTTTTCATTGCTTTTAGGTAAATAACTAAGTGTGGAATTTCTACAGTTCCTACTGTAAATGTATGTTTAACTTTCTAAGAAATTTCCTAGCTGTTTTCCAAAGTAGTTGCATAATTTTACACTGTCACCAGGACTGCAGAAGAGTTCCAGGTGCTTCACATTTTCCCCAAAGCGTGGCTTTGTCAGTCTTTTTCATTTGAGCCATTCTGGAGGCTGTGTAGGTCTCTCACTGTGGTTTTAATTTGCATTTCCCTGATGTGACTAATGGTAAATTCTTTGTCAGATATTATTATGGTATGTATTATCTCCCATTCTGTGGCTTGCATTTTGATATACGTTTTTTTACATCTTTATTGAGATAGAATTCAAACACCCCTTGTTTGAGTTTTTAACATTGTGTCTTTTTAAGAGTAGAACTATAAAATGGTGATGCATTCTATGTTGCCAATTTTTTTTATTTTCTGGTTCAGGCTTTTTGTGTTCCAGATAAGAAATCTTTGCCTATGCTAAGGTCGTGAAGATTTTCTCCTCTATTTTCTTCTAGACGTTGTATAGTTTTAACATGACGTTTAGGTCTACGATCTGTTTCGATTTAGTTTTTGTGAATGGCATGGGGTAAGAGTTGAGGTCCACAAAACTTTGTTTAGGTAAGTTAAGAAAACACGCAGCAAGGGACGGTTTAAAAGACCAGTCACAGAGCAAGCCAGAAATGGTCACTCTTTCCCAATGTCACGTTGCTAAAGAGGTCATTGCACTGTGCAAGCCAGAGTCTGTGGTTTCTTGTGCAAAGGTATTCCAGGTAATAGCACCCGTATACACTCTTCCTGCTACGGCCATTGGGACTGTTCATCCCCACCACCCAGCTCTGATCAGCAAAAACATGAATTAAAAGCAGCTGAGGTGTGGGTGAGGCACTTGGCGGGAAGAGGTAAAAGAAAATGTAAAGTCGTACCCTGCCTGCAAAAGACGAGAGGCCCAGGGGCACAGGCCGGTGGATCTTAGATGTGATTTCATAAGGAAGCCAAAGCTGCCTCGGCCAAAACTGCTGCCCTACTGACTTGCCCAGTGTCCTAATCCCCGCCGTTAAGAATCACTCGTGCAGGCCGGGCGAGGTGGCTCACGCCTGTGATCCCAGCATTCTGAGAGGCCGAGGCGGGAGGACTGTTTGAGCTCAGGAGTTCGAGACCAGCCTGAGCAAGAGCGAGACCCCGTCTCTACTAAAAATAGAAAGAAGTTAATTAGACAGCTAAAAATACATAGAAAAAATCAGCCGGGCATGGTGGTGCATGCCTGTAGTCCCAGCTACTCGGGAGGCTGAGGCAGGAGGATCGCTTGAGCCCAGGAGTCTGAGGTTGCTGTGAGCTAGGCTGACGCCACGGCACTCACTCTAGCCTGGGCAACAGAGTGAGACTCTATCTCAAAAAAAATAGCATCACTCGTCCAGGTAAAGCATTAATTAAATTAACCGAAGGCCCCTGTGCAGATGCACGCAGCCTGAGAGGGGCGCTCTGGTTTCCTTGTTGGATCTATCAACAGTTTCCTGGGAAAAGATATGGAAATGCCAGCCCCTAGGGAGGGCTCGAGGTCATGTTGTGGGAGGAAGAGGCAAGACAGGAAGGTCTAGAGCAAGGTTTAGCGTTCCCCTATTGCAATCAGATCTGCTGACCTAAACGTTAGAACATAGGGTCTAACAAAAGATGATCAGTTTCTAATTTGTGAATTTTTACCAAAAAAAAAAAAAAAGTGTAGCAATAGCTCAACATGGAATCATTTCCCTAAATGCCTTTGTTCAGACAACCCCAGAATATCCTGCCGTGCCCATCGACCTCACAGCGTGCCAGTGAGCAAGGGCTGGGAGGAGGACCTGAGTGGGAACCCCCAAGCAGCCGGGCAGGTGGTGAGGACTGCATCGAGCCCGGGCCGCCAGCCGTCACCCACCGCAGCGAAGCCCAGTGACCTGGAGCGACGTCTTGGTGACAGGTACGGCTTCAGGAAAGAATCGGCGGTGGTGCAGAAAAGACTCGACCTCCCTGGTCAGCGCCCCTGATTCCATCCCTGTCTCCCTCGCTGAACTCTGCCCTTTTGCTGGATTTCCAGGCACACCCCAAAAATTAAGACACAAGTTGACGACCTTCCTAGTCATCGCCCCTGATTCCATCCCTGTCTCCCGCGCTGAACTCTACCCCTTTGCTGGATTTCCAGGCACACCCCCAAACTTTAAGACACAAGTGGCATATAGAGAAAAACACAATTTATTCATTAAAATGAGGACGAAGTTTTTGTCACTCTGGAAAGTCGAGTTTCGTCACGGAAGTTGCTCGTCAAAGCGGCCGCACGGGTCGGCAACAGTTCCCCTAGGGGCCCGGACGTTAGGCCGGTCTCGCAACCCGGAGCGTCGTTCAGGTCAGTAGTGGAGGAGAGACAGCACGCCACAGACCTTCCCCAAGACTTCCAGAAAAGTCAGCCAGGCAGGCCTGGGTTCAAACTTCTTCACGAAGCCGTGCTCCTGTGAGATAACGCATTGAACAGTTTTAAGCCAGTGGAGACCGTTTGCTGGAACAATAAGCAAAGAAACTTTCATTTAAATAATGTAAATAGCCGGGTGCGGTAGCTCACGCCTGTAATCCCGGCACTCTGGGAGGCCGAGGCGGGAGGATCGCTCGAGGTCAGGAGTTTGAGGCCAGCCCGGGCAAGAGCGAGACCCCGTCTCTACTAAAAATAGAAAGAAATTAATTGGCCAACTAATATACAGAGAAAAAATTAGCCAGGCATGGTGGCGCATGCCTGCAGTCCCAGCTACGCAGGAGGCTGAGGCAGGAGGATCGCTTGAGCCCAGGAGTTTGAGGTTGCTGTGAGCGAGGCTGACGCCACGGCACTCTAGCCCGGGTGACACGGTGAGACTCTGTCTCAAAGAAAAAAAGAAAAAGAAATCGACCTCTGCCTGCGCATGACGTGTGGAGTCCTACTCAGGGACGCATGATGTCACGCCCTAACGGAGGGAGGAAGTTGCTCCCGTCTCCACTTCCTCTCCCCTCCCCCGCCCTTACACACTCGTGTGTTTCCCGCACATCCTACGTGTGTGTTCGCCTCACTGCTCCCTTCCTAGAACCTTCCCAGACCCCGGGTTTGGCAAGCACGACGGGGCCCTCTGGAATGAGTTTTATTGTTATGACAAGGCTCATTGTCTATCGTGACCGGACAACGAATGTGTCATCTTGCGCACACTCAACTTCTCAAGCAAAGACGGTGAACAAAGGGGAAAAGTTGGCCAATTCACCTAGATGAAGATTAAAATTAAAAAAAAAAAAAACCTACAGAAAACAAAAATTAAAAGAGCCGCAAAACCAGGGAAATATTTATATTACTATGAAAGACTTCATTCAGATGGAAGGGAAAATCATCCAACCTGAAGCAGTTAAAAAGGAAAAGGCCGTTGTAAAGAAAAATAAAAATTATGAACAAGTATATATCTCAACATGACTAGCAGCTACAGAATTGTGCATTTCTAACACGATCTTACTAGTTTTTAGGCCTATTAAATTGACCTGGTTATGTGAAACCTATTAAACACCCAACATTGTTCTGAACAGAGCCAACCAGTGCTGGTAAGGTGGCTGCGGCATTCCACGGACACGACGTACTCCAACACGCGTGAGAGGTGTGACTACGCCCGTGTCTTACGAACCAGGCACGCCACCGTCGGGAGCTTGCTGAGGCGATCGTCTAAAATGCGGGGCGGGTGCACCGGGGGAACGTAGCCCTGATCAGTACTGAGGCGTTATTCCCAAGAGGGGAAAACGGGAAACAACCCACATGTCTGAGAACTGGGAACTCGCTACGTGAATTGCGATGCAGCATCCCCTGTGGACGTTAGACATGCCGGCACGGAACGCGAGGCAGCGCGGGGCATGTTTATAACGTCGCGTGGAAAACTCCTCCGTGTACCCGAATTATCGCTGCACACGGTGTATGCATGGGGCATCTGTTAAGGTACTGAGAGTGACTTCTTTTTCTTTTCAAATATAGTCTTTTCAAGTATATTTCCATTAATGACGCTATTTGTACATCTTTAAAACCATTATATACAAATAAAAATCCCATATCCTATCAGTAGAATTTTTTTAAAGTACAGAGTTAACAAAAGTTTCGAACTTTTTACATATGAAAAAAACTAGCCAGTTCGGATGCCTTACGGAAAAATTAACATTCAGAAATCATAACTCCATACTTGGTTTTGTGACTAAAGGGGAAAAGTACTTATTTTGAGAGTTAGCAAAACCCTAACCATATCAGAGACCATTAAAAATTTCAAACAACAGATTTACCACACATGTTGCATGAAACCTACAGTTTTAAAAGATAACCAGCAATCTAGACGGTATCTGCCACATATATAAAAATATTTTGTATCCAGAATACTCAAAAAATGCCTACAAATCAATACAAAGAGACAAAATAATAGGAAAATGGGCAAAGCCATATAAACAGGCAATTCTCTGAATAAGAATTTCAAATGGTCAGTGAACATAGGAAAAGATGCTCATTGTAAAATGGTGCCTCACCTTACTAATACTCAAGGAACTGAGAGTTAAAGCAAAATCGACTAGGTAATTTTTTTAGCCCAACAATTTGGGGAAATTACGACGGATGCCACACCCTAACTAACGTCAGCGGCTGAAGGGGGAGGAGGCTGGGGCCTCCCTGGGGCTGGTCCTGGGGGTGTGACCTGGAGGAGCCGCCTTGGAGGGCAAAGGTCAGACACATGTAAAGGGCAGGTGCACCGTGACTAGCAACGCCACAGCCCACACCCACCCTGGAGACACGCACACGCACACGGGCAGGTCTGTGAGGCGGCAGGCACTGTCTGAAGCATTATGTGTGACACAAACTCTGGAAATCACCTAGATAACCTATCTGGCCACGTCTGCGCCCAGCACCTGGCAGGGCCTCCCCACGGCATTTACCCACAACAGAAGTATGCATAGCACTCTTTTTTTTTTTTTTTTTTTTTTGAGACAGAGTCTCGCTTTGTTGTCCAGGCTAGAGTGAGTGCCGTGGCGTCAGCCTAGCTCACAGCAACCTCAAACTCCTGGGCTTGAGTGATCCTTCTGCCTCAGCCTCCCGAGTAGCTGGGACTACAGGCATGCACCACCATGCCCGGCTAATTTTATATATATATATCAGTTGGCCAATTAATTTCTTTCTATTTATAGTAGAGACGGGGTCTCGCTCTTGCTCAGGCTGGTTTTGAACTCCTGACCTTGAGCAATCCGCCCGCCTCGGCCTCCCAAGAGCTAGGATTACAGGCGTGAGCCACAGCGCCCGGCCTGCATAGCACTCTTTAAAACGTGATTTTAGATATGCTTAGGTGGAGGAAAAAAGTTTGCAGAATAAGAACCTTGTACTATTTTTACATACACAAAAATATCTTACAAAGAAATGTTCTGCATGTTTTCTATGCATATATTGCACAGCCATGTTTTGCATGTAAGATAATAACTGGTAGCAGTGGTTACTTCTCGGGAGGGGTGAGGGCCAGGATTGGGGGTGGGGAGAGGGTCTACGGGAACATAAGCACTTTAAAAAGTAAGCATTAAGCACACTGGAAAATAAAAGAAAGAAAGCAAGGGCAAGCACCCATGTGCCCAGCTGTGCCCAGGCCCCTAGATAGTCTTGGTTTTTTGAGGCACTGATATTAGAGTGAATTTTTATTTGAAAATTCTTTTTTTTTTTTTTGAGACAGAGTTTCACTCTGTTGCCTGGGCTAGAGTGCCATGGCATCAGCCTAGCTCACAGCAACCTCAGACTCCTGGGCTCAAGCAATCCTCCTGCCTCAGCCTCCCGAGTAGCTGGGACTACAGGCATGCACCACCACGCCCGGCTAATTTTTTCTATATATTTTTAGTTGGCCACTTAATTTCTTTCTATTTTTAGTAAAGATGAGGGTCTCACTCTTGCTCAGGCTGGTTTCAAACTCCTGACCTTGGGCGATCCTCCCGCCTCCAGCCTCCCAGAGTGCTGGGATTACAGGCGTGAGCCTCCGTGCCCGGGCTGAAAATTCTTGCATAAAAGCTCTTGCTGGTGGTACAGCACATTATTTCTTATCGACAGACTTTAACAGCCCAGAATTTGTTATATTAGAAAACTGAAAAAAAAAAAAAATCAATTTGCAAATGGCAAACTTGAAAAAAATGTATACCTGTCTTTTGCAACCTGATAAATCCCTAACTATAACAGCACCTAATAGCAACTCTTCCTGTGCACAGTCTACGTTGCCATGACAACCGTAGCCAACGCTAAGCACCAGACGGGGCGTCCGCGCTGTTGGCTCTGCAGGTGCGCTGGCGAGGTGCTCTGCCAGTCCCCAAACCTCACTACGGTCACCTGCACCGTTGGAAGTAAAAACCGGAAACACGAGTCTTTCCCAATCCTAAAGCTCTAGGGCTCGTTGGAAATGAGCCAGAAAGCATAATTTTATTTTGGAAATTAAGGCAACCCGCCCAAGGAAAATAGTATGCCTAGGCAGGCGCCTTGCCGTTGTCTTGATGAGCAGAGAAACTACGAATCTCTATTTCGCAGCAAAGGGCAATGAGGAAACGTTCCCACCACGCACACATACCCAGCCTCCGTTCTGCCGAATCCACTCTCCCGTGTGGCTCACTACGAACTCGGCGATGAGGTGAGAAATCTGCTTGCACGCGTCCGGGTCCAGGGCCGCCCGCTCCCGCAGGAGTCTCTTGGTGAGGACGCCTCCGAACGCAAACACGGTCACGACCCTTCCCCAGTTGACGACGCCGTCCCCGAACTCCTGCTCCATCACGCGACTGAAGATGGCTCTGGCCGTCTCTACGGAGGCGACGTTGAAATTGTCCAGGCACGGTTCCAGTCTCCTTTCCACTTCGTTTTGGACGGAGGAGGCCACGCTCCGCAGCACCCGGGACGCCTCGCTGGGGCTGGACCCGGGCTGCGGCGCCCGCAGGACATGCTGCAGGTAGTCCTGGGCCAGCTCTCGGGTGAATTCGAACTCGCAGCCCGTCATCTTCCGCCCGGCGGGGAGCAGGGTCTGGAGCTGCTTCATCCGGACGTGGCGGGTGAGGCAATTGGAAGCTCGCCCGGGGCATGACACACGGTGACAGATATGCGGGGCGGCAGGATCTCTGCTTGCATCATGCTGAAGTCCCCTTCCTCCTAGACGCCGTCCTGCGTAGGCTGTGTGTGAGAGAGAGGAAAGCACCAGAGAGGCCACTTCCTCATCCTGCCATGCGTTCAGCCTCAGCAGCCTTCGGTGCAAAGATATGGAGAAATCGAGCCCCTTGCACGTTGCTGGCGGGAATGCAAAATGAGTCACCCCCTGCGAGAAAGTTCGGCGGTTCCTCGAAAAGCTAAATACAGAATCGCCAAAAAGACCCGGCGGTTCCATTCATACGTGTATGCCCCACGGACACCCGAGCACTCCCACACAGATGCCCATGAGCACTGTTCACAGTAGCCAAGAGGTGGGGAAAAACTCAACGGTTCACCAGCAGATAAGGGAACAAACAAATTGTGGGGCATTAATTCAGCCCTAGAAAGGAGTGAAGCGTGATGCAGGCTGAGGCAGGGATGAGCCTCAGAGGCACCGTGTCAAGAGAAAGAAACCAAACACAGAAGGTCAGGAATTATGTGACTCTGTTTCGATGAAATGCCCTGAACAGCTCAGGACACAGCGGGCCGGGCGCGGCGGCTCACGCCTGTCATCCCAGCACTCTGGGAGGCCGAGGCGGGAGGATCGCTCGAGGTCAGGAATTCGAAACCAGCCCGAGCAAGAGCGAGACCTTGTCTCTACTAAAAATAGAAAGAAACTAATTGACCAATTAAAATATACATAGGAAAAAAAAATGAGCCGGGCGTGGTGGCGCATGCCTGTAGTCCCAGCTACTCGGGAGGCTGAGGCAGGAGGATTGCTTGAGCCCGGGAGTGTGAGGTTGCTGTGAGCTAGGCTGACACCACGGCACTCACTCTAGCCTGGACAACAAAGCGAGACTCTGTCTCAAAAAAAAAAAAAAAAAAAAAACAGCTTAGTCCACAGGGACAGGTGACAGGTGGCGGGTCGGGGGTGCTGGGAGGTGGCAGGGGGGAGGGGCAGCAACTGCTGGCAGGACACAGCTGTGCTCTGTCCGTGAAGACGTTTGGGAGGAGCAAGAAGGGTTTCTGCGCGGCATTATCGCCGCTAAACTGCGCACTTTGAGATGCGTATGTGAATTTCACAGCAAAAATGCAGTCCAGAAAGCAAGTCAGACCAGTGAAAACTTGGAGTGAAAACTAGAGAACAGCCTGGGAGTGGGACAAGGGCGTCTCAAAGTCGAGGTGGCAGAACCCACCCTGACGCTTGGAGCAACCGAGGAAGGGTGAGGTGAGAAGGGGGAAGGAGAAATCACCTTCTCCGATCTTCACCTTCCATTTGCTCTAGAGTTTCTGACCGAAACGAAGCTCTGGTCTAAGGTGGCCATTTATGTTTTCTTTCTTTCTTTTTTTTTTTTTTTTGAGACAGAGTCTCGCTCTGTTGCCCAGGCTAGAGTGAGTGCCGTGGCGTCAGCCTCGCTCACAGCAACCTCAAACTCCTGGGCTTGAGTGATCCTCCTGCCTCAGCCTCCCGAGTAGCTGGGACTACAGGCATGCGCCACCATGCCCGGCTAATTTTTTCTATATATTTTTAGTTGACCAATTAATTTCTTTCTATTTATAGTAGAGTCGGGGTCTTGCTCTTGCTCAGGCTGGCTTCGAACTCCTGAGCTCAAACGATCCGATCCTCCCACCTTGGCCTCCCAGGGGGCTAGGATTACAGGCGTGAGCCACCGCTCCCAGCTGACAATTCCTATTCTTGAGGTGGGTGAACCATCCAATGCACGGATCAGAAGCTGTGGGACCAGGGAGACCCCTGGGATTGCAGAGCCTGGACTCCGCCCCGGCCAGACCTTCCTCCCTGGCGCACGGCCCGCCCCGCGGCTGTGCTCAGCTGTGGAAGGAGGCAACCCAGGCCGGCCACGGAAGGCTGGCGTGAAGTCCAAAGCGATGGTCCGTGAAGACTGCCCGTGGCCGCGCCTGGTAAAGCGCAGGTGCTCGGCCAGTGCTAGCTCCCGTCGTGTTCATGAGCCGGCGTTCGGGAACTTGCCTTCCCAGCTGCCTCTTCACCCAACAAGTGTGCGATTTCATAAGTGCGCAGTCTGGAGTGAGATGCGAATCTCGCCGTGTTTAGCTTTGGCAGCGATTCTGAGAAACAGTTTGCAGTGGGTGGAAGGAAAAGCAGACAACTCCCGGGCCCTGGAGAAACTGAATTCCCTTTTTTTTCCCCCCACTCCATATGGAGCGAGTTGGAGTCTTTGCATCAGTGTCTATGAACAGCAGCAAACAGAAAAAAAAGGCTTTATATATAATTTGCATTTCTGAACTACCGTGTTTCCCCAAAAATAAGACAGGGTCTTATATTTATTTTTCCTCGAGAACACAACCTGGGGCTTATTTTCGGGGGATGTGTTATCTTCCCCTCAAAGCCTCAGCTTGCAGCATGCACAGGACGGCCGGGACCCGACAGGGGGAGCCGATCTTGCTTGTGGGGCTGCCCGCACCTTTCCGGTCACCTCTGGGACAGCAGAGGTCACGACGGGGCGGACGAGAAGGGCTGCTCGTGTTCTTTCCCGCTCCGCGACGACACGCACGGGTTGTGCAGGCGCGCTGCGCAGCCACGCCCGTCACTAGGGCTGATTTTCGGGGTGGGGCTTCTATGACGCACATGCTTAGACATCCTGCTAGGGCTGATTTTATGGGTAGGTCTTGTTTTCGGGGAGACACGGTATCACCATAGGGTTAGAGAGGAAGAGAGAGGTGCTAACTAATAAGGTGGCAGCCGGGAAAAGGCCCCTCGCAGACCTGCTGGGGGAGCAGGACTGACCCAGGGCCAGCCACTCGCTGTGAACCCACCTGTCACCTTGCACCGGGGCCCCCCCGGGCTGCTCCCAGCCAGTGACTGGGAAAAGCAGGGACACCAGGGCCCCTTCCTGCAAGTCACCTCCTCTGACAGGTAACTGTGGTTCAGCGATTCCCCATCGGCTTTGCGAAAACTTCCTTAGACTGTGCTGCTGTCAAAGACCACCCCCACCCCATCTTCCTTCCTCCTCTCCCAGCCCACCGGCCCGGCCCACGTGGCAGTCTGGCAGCCCTCCGGCCTCATTTTCCCCCAGAAAATCTCCTACACACCAAATCCCCTCACGTCTTCTTCCTGGGGCGCCCAGACTGACGTGAGGCCTATACAGGAAAAGTTTCGCGCAGACCTGTGGTCAGGCCACTTCTCCACGATTTCCCCCCAGGGAAAGTTTTGCCGAGCCCCCTACGCGGTGCCGGCCGGGCCCCGGGAGCACGAAGCCAAGAGCAGGCTGCTTCCCTCCCGGGTCAGCTGTGGCCACAAGACCCGGCCGCAAGGACGGGAAGACCCAGTGTTCTCCCCTGACAGTCCCATGGTGCTGAGCATTTCAAAAAATAAAATAAAATAAAATAATAGAAGCCTGGTGTTTATCATTATTTTTTAAATTTTAAATAATTTATTCTTCTTTATTGTCCTTTTTTTAGTCAGGAGAATTTTGCATTTCCAGAAGCCTGGTGTTTAAAAATTGCGATTAGGCATCCTATTTAGTCAGGATCTATCTTTTTCCCAGTGCCCAAGTGGGCCCAGGGAAGGCGGGTAGTCGATCTTCCTCCAATAAATGAGATGCGTCAACATCATACCTGGGCCCTACCGTATTTAGGGCTTTATGTTTCTGATCTTCTGGATCCCAAAAGAAGTTGCTTTAAAAATTCTTACATTTTGTGGCCTGCTTTAGTTCATTTGGGGGCGTTTCCAAACAATCACTTTTCAAAGATGAGGTGGGAGAGAGAAAGAAAAAGTCCTTTCCAAAAAATAAAAAGGAGGTGGAGGAAGAGGAGGAGAGGAGGAGGAAGAGGAGGAGAGGAGGAGGAAAAGGAGGAGGGGAAGGAGAGGAAGAAGAATCCTATCTCATCTTTGCACTTGAAGTGCAGAAGGCTGGTGTTCGGCAGGTGGAGGAGGTGTGAGCCAGGTGCGAGTACCTGACCGTGACCAGGTGGGGACCTGGGGGTGTCACCTCTCAAGGCTGCCACGGACTGAGGCTGCACCCCACCCCACCCCTGCCCCGGCCTCAAGTACAGGCCGGTAAAGACCAGCTCATGACTCCGCTCCTCTGAGCCGCTCTATCGACAGGTGCGTGAAGTGCATGGTCCACCCCACGTGGACCTGGTCCGCGGCCACGTGACTCTGAGGTTCTGGGAAAACCACGTGTGGCCTCATGAGTCGTGGTGGAAGGGCGTGGACAGGTTGGGGAGGGGTGATGTCGGAAGATGACTCCCCACATCTATCTGTTCACTCTTAACAGGTGTCTGTGACCGGACAGAGATTTCCTCTATGCTTGTTTCATCTAGAAGTTTCTACCGAAGAAGCGCGTGAAGCCCTGGCTGGGGCCGAGGGAACTACTGGTGTTTGTTGTGGGATTAACACTAGGGAGACTATGAATCACCCTAATAATCAGTTACCGACTTCTCGCACTTGTAAAGTGCTTTGGACATCGCTGCTGCCATCATCACACACGTGTATGTGAGCTACAACCTCATGGGTAACCCACTGAGCTCACACAGACTGCCACATCTATACACGCGTGTTTCAGTTACCCACCGCGGTGCTGACAGACCACTCCCCAGAATTTAGCGGCTCAAAATAAAACTCACGTATTTTGCTCCTGAACCTGAAACCTGGGCGGGACTCAACGGGGATGTCTGGCCCCTACTCCGTGGTGTCTGGGCTCAGCTGGGATGATGACTCAGACAGCCGGGCTCGGCCCTGCCCGGGGGACAGACAGCGGCGGCCGCCACCAGGGGGTGAGAGTTGCGGGGGACAAGGCCTGAGGCCACCTGGCTTATGAGCAGCCAGGGCAGTGCCAGCCCCGGGACAAGGTGCGTGACCCCAGAGAGAGACGGCTGAGGGCAGCTTCCCTTTTCCCCAAAGGCGGAACCTGGAGCTGGCGGGGCTTCGGGCTGTTTGGGGGCAGGAGGCTCAGGGGACCGCCCTTCCCCCCCCCACCCCCCCCCCACTGGAGCTCGTCACGGTCACTTCCCTATTCTCCCGGGTCCTGACCGGGGCAGAGTGTCTGCCAGAGTGACCCGACTGGAGCACGAAGGGGAGGGAATTGTGCACCAGAGCCGCCTGCGTGTCCCCCCGTCCCCCCACCCTGGTCCCTCGGGGCCGAGACTCGGTGCTCAGAAAGCACAGTGGGGACAGTCCCCCGCCCCACCCCCGCCGGGAAAAGCCAGGGCCCCGTGGGAAGCGGCTTCCGGCGGGAGCTATTCGAGGAGACTGGTTTCCGGGAAGTTCTGTGAGCCCAGCCTGCAAGTGGGGTTGCAAGAGGGGTTCCCCCCGTTTCCCCGTCCTGTCTGGAGCGAGGTTAAGCGGACAGTGGACAGACAGAGCGCCTGGCCATGAGCCAAGTTGCCGCGCGGCGGGGAGGGAGGATGGACATGTCGGCAGCCTGGCTGGGGGGCAGAACGGGTCGCAACGTTGCTAAGAAGAAGGAGGAGGAAGGGGCGGGAGGAGGAAAGGCAGGTGGGCGGTGAGAGTGGGGGGTCCCACATGAGACACAATGCCTGGGTGCCACC